TATTAGTAATAATATCAAAAGGAGATTGAGATGCAATTTTAAGCATTCTGTTTTGATATTTTTGATAGATAAAGGTAAGTATTGGATCATAATAAATTTTCCAAAGTAGTGGTAAATAGGTTTCTTCTTGTTCAATTCCAGATTGAATATTGATTGGAGATGTAAGTCCATATCCTGTGATGATTCTTGCTTGCCTTGAAGAGTATAGTTTAGTGATAAGGTTAATTCCTGCAAAAGGAATACTGATTCTTTTACAAGTACTTTGGAGATGAGATATGTTAATTTTGTTAAAAGCTTTAGACATGTTTTGAAAAAGAATCCAAACTTCTTTGTTATATAATATATAGTGTTCAATAGTATTATGGAGAATTTGTATTAGAATATGTGTTGAAGAGTTTTTTGATGCAGCGAAGTTAAGATCTAATAAAAGATGATTAGCAAAAATAATTTGATCAAAGTATTTGGTAAAGATTTTAGTAAAAGTTTTTTGAAGGGTTCAAGTATAGATATTGGTTTAACATAATTAAGAATAAAATCTCAGTTAGATTTTTTTGTGATAAGAAAGATATTAGAAGATTTCTAGTCTATAGGAACTTTTTGGAGTTGAAAACATTTATTAAAAAAAAGTTTAAAGAGTGTTTGTGCTTTGGGACTAGCATATTTGATATGCTTGTAACAAATTTCAGAGGGTCTGGCTGCTTTTTGATTGGTAGGTTAGTTATAATATCCTGCTATTCTTGGTCAGTAATATTTTGTAATAGATTTTGGTAAAATTTCTCATATTCCAGATATGGTTGATAAAGTTGATAGAATTTAGAGGATGTTTGAATTAGCTGAAGAGGTTTTTCTTGAAAATATTCTGAAAAATAATTATAAATTGCATTTAGTATTTCTTTATGTTTTGTAAGGAGAGAATTGTCAAGAAGTAGTCTATTAAGATAAATATTATTAAATTTTTTAAAAATCTTTTTATAGAAAGTTTAGGTATTTCTAAAAAAGATTGATTTCAATTTTCAATTTTTTGTTAAATTTCTCAATAAGTAGTTTGTTGTTACTGAATATTGAGAGCAGTTTTAATCTGTTAGAATTCATCTTTAATTTGAGACAAGGTAGGTGTTTCAGTTTAAAAGAGACAATCAGGATATTGTGTTGTATATTTTTTACAAAGTGTAGTAGAGGCAATATGATTTTTAAGATATTAGATTTCTTTGAATCTATAAAAAAGTGGTGTTTGTTTTGTTGATATAGTTTCTTGAATTTTATTAATAGTTTTAATTCTATAAAAAGAAATCTGTTTGACAGCAGCCTTATTAAGGATTTTTTTTAATTTATTCCAGAATTTGTTGAGTTGGTTTTGGTTAGAGATTAAATCAATTTGTGAATTGAGACTTTGTAGGTTTAGAGTAGTTTGCTTTACGTAATTATCTAAATTTTTTTTAGTAGGTTTTTCCATAGAAATTTTTTTCTTTGATGTTGTTTTTGTAGTTTAGATTTGTTAATTATGATTGAAAGTTCTAGTGTTATAATATTGTGGTCTGAGTCAAAGTTACTGTTTAGTAAAATATCTATGTAATCTATATTTGTAATACTAAATTGGACCAAATTTGATCAATTCTACTTTGAGTATTAGAATGTTGGAAGTTAAAATTTTGATTATTGGGAAAAAAGAACTGATAAATATCCTTAAATTGGTGACTAATTAAATATTTAATGAGTTGGAATTCAGGAATTAATGACTTTTTAGAAGGTATATGATCAATACATAGATTTGGAATACTATTAAAGTCTCCCATGATTATAATTTTGTAGCTTGAATTTTGATATAGTAAAATAATCTGCTCTTGAATATCCTTCTGAAGTTGTTTTTTCTCTCCTATGGGAATATATATTTGTAATAGTCTAATAGAAGTGTTTTTGAAGTGAAGACCAAAATTGTATATATGTGCTATATATTTGGAGATTTTGTTGTGAATAAAGAGACCAACACCAGCTTAGTGTAGATTGGAATAGGAACTCCAATAACTAGTATATGTTTTAGCTTTGTTGTTAAGGAATTTACCTTTTTTTGTTGTTAAATATGTTTTAGATTCCAAAAATATTATATATGTTTTGGTCTAAGGTTTCTTCAATTAGTAATTTTTTGGTTGGTTGTAAAAGTCTATTTGTGTTGAGTAAGGCAATTTTAATAGGAATTGAGGCATATTCAGGTTTATATATATATATCATATTAGTTGAAGGTTGGTTTATATGATAGTTTTCAGAAAGAGTGAGTGGTGGTGTGCTAGTTTGTAAAATTAATAAAAATAGATTTGTAGTAGGTAATTCAGGAAATAAGAAAAGCTTTTTAGATATATTAGCTTGAGTAGATAATTTAGGATAATTTGATTTGAGAGGTATGTTACAATAGTATTTTAAGGCTTCTCTGCATAGTACAAAATGATTTGATAATAATTTTGATTCAGAAAGTAAGTAAATGTGCATTTCAGAGTAGTTTTTTTTAATAGAAATAGTAAGAGTATAAATATGTTTCTCTATATTATACTCAAAGAGGTTGAGATGTGAAAAGAATGAGATTATAGTTTGTGGCTCTGGTAATGTTGGAGGTTGGTAGTATCTAAGAAATCTATTGTAGCATATTGTTAAATGTAGGGGGATCTAGGATCTGGGTCTATAGTTTGTTCAGTATTGTAAAGGCCAAGCTAAAAGTCTTGTTGAAAATAATAGTATAGATTATATATTCAGTTATCTTTAATTATATTAGGAATAGTTTCTAATTTGAGAGAGCAAATATCAGAAGCAGTGGAGAGAGGAATAAAAGGAAAGTATTTGTAACTTTCAACTGGTGTTCTAAAATAATCTCATATATAAATCTATGATCAGACTAAGGGTAGATATATGCTATACTGTAATCTTCTTTAATTAGTAGATAGAAGATAAAGTTGTATACATTATTAAAATTATAATAAAAGGATTTGAGATGTCTAATGAAAGAATTGATAGTTTAGGGGAATAGATGTATAGAAAGATTAAAAGATAATAAGATTTTATTATAACATGTATTAGGATTGTATATAATTATATGTGGTTCATTAATAAAAGAAATATTTGTATAATTAGTATGTTGTTATAGAGTTTTAATGATATTAGAGATGACTTGCCAGTATTAGGAATGTCTTTTATTAGATCAATCACTATATACTCAACTCGCCCAGTTTCTAGAGGACCTGTAGCCTGCTTTGTATATTGAGTCTTGCCATTATTATCCCAAGCCTCTAGGTAAATAGGCTTGACCACCCACCCACTTGCATCATTTTCCTTATCAAATATGATAGATATTTCTTTTGATAAGGTAGCAGCTGCATCTATGGGTGTAGAAGACAAGTTTATTAAAAAGGAGTCTTTTTTAAAAAAAGTGAGTACTCAAGCTTAACTAGTTGAAAGTTAATTTTAAATTTTTCTAAGAAAAATTTTTTTGCTTCAGGTTTGAAGGTTTCTTTGAAGTGTTTGATAATTAGGCTAAGAGGTATTTTTTGATTTTTAATAAGATCATAATATGTAATGACTCTGGCTAAGTAGTCTGTATTGATTGGAGATTTGGTGAGAAGTTCTATAGTTTTATGTTTGGTTTTGTTGAGAATGTTGTAATTTTGGATAGCAATATGGTAATATTTAGCTAAATATTGATAAAAGAAAAAGCCTCTTCTTTCGGGATTAGTTTTGGTTGTATTTAATTTGCAAATTTGGTTTTCAAATTCTGTTGCATGTTGGTCTATGATTTTGGTAGGTATAGGTTTGGTAAATGTTGCTTTCTGTTGTTAATAGTCTGTAAAGTATATACTAGGTTTGAATAAACTTTACAAAGGCAGAAGTAGGTAATAGTAGCAGAGATAAAAGGCTACAAGTACTTGTTCTTGAACTTAGCATAAATTACTGAAATCTAAATTAGCTAAATTGTGGATATAGAAAGCTTTAGCAAAAATATCTCAAAGATAAATTAGTTTTAAAGAAATAGATCAGAATTTGAAACTTTTTGATTGACAATTATTATAGAGATATATTAGTAACACAAGCAGAGTTGTATTACAAAAAGTTTAAATAAATAACACCTGTAGTTAAGTTGTATATATAGCATCTAATATAAAATCTATAATATAAGTTTTAGGTAGACTACTTAAATAGACACCAAAAATATATATGTGGCTAATATATATTCTTTTAATATAAAGGGTTCCTTTGAGACTAATAGCCACAAACCCTAATCAATAATACTTGAATAAAACCTTGCCCCAAAAAGACTAGTTAATAAAAAAACTACTAATTTTTAGATGCTAAATAAAACTTAACATTATTTATTGCTATATAGCACTTCTATTTTTACTAATATTATTAGTTCTTTTAATACTATTAGCACTTTTGACATTCTTGATATATGTGTTATATTATAATTATCTATTACATAATGCTAAATTATAAGGTTAATAATATTCTTTTATTTAAATTTGAGCTTTTGTAAAAATAAAATCTTTAAAATAGTATTTATAAAAATTATAAAATCTAGTATTACAAACCAATATTGTTATTACAAACCTTGTCAAGCAAAGTTAATATATTTACTAGTTGATCTTGAATGCAGAACTCTACAATAGTTATACATTTTAACGATTTTACTATATAGTTGACCCTCATTAGTATTAACCTATTTGGATTACTTTATATTCATATTAATAATATTAATAAGTTTATATTAAAGTAGATATATGTGAGGAAATTTTGATATATAAAAATTTATAAAAATTTGATTTGTGGCTTAGGTATTAATGCAAGTTATATTAATAAAGGTCAACTATAATAGGTAAGATTACAAATTTTGTTGTTATACTATTTTTAAAGATATATTTTGTTGATTAAATATCTAATAAAGAGCAAGATTTTATGTGATTTAAAATAAGGTTTGATAATTTTAAGGAGTAAACTATAAAACCAAAAGATTTGTAGAGCAGCTATCCTAATTTCAAGCAAAATAAAAAATAAAATTTTCCAAGTTAAGCATGGATCATTTCAGCAACATGCAATTTCAGGACAAGTTAACACCTATCTCGGATCTATATCTCTTAATTCAACTACAACTATTCTCCTCATGTGTTAAATTTTGAATAACTATCACGAGACCACATATTGATCAAACAGGAATTTCGGTCTGTTTGTGAATTAAGAAATACGTTAACGTTAACGTTAATATGATAAAAATTCATCACGGCGAATTTATGAAATCAAGCTAAAATTCGGTCACCAAATTTGAGTACTTGGTCCCTAATTTTAAGTTTTGGTTACTGAATTACATATTAATAAATCAATATTAAACCCCAAAAAGTTTTTTGGACCCCGATCTTTATTGATAACGTGTCTAACCCATCTTTCTCACGTGCTAACACATCTTCCCCACTATCCAATCTGTTTTTCTGATTGGTTACTCGTTTTGACGCTTTCATATACGACCAAATTTTACGTACGTACATGCAGTACGTTCTAAGTCATACACATAATGATAGTGTTCATATTGATAAGTCAATAAATTGACTCACTATTGGGGTCAAATAAATTGACTAACTATCGGTGGTCAAAATTTTCCAAATTTTGGGTATTCCATAAATTCGCTGCAGTTATAAACAAATCTTACCTTTAACAGATAAACTTTCTAATGCTTGACTTATGCTTTGTTTAAAGTTCCATTTAGTGCATACCGAACTTTCATAAATCTGCGTGCTAATGTTTGTTGATTTATTTATTCTATCTGATTCTAAAAATTCGTTTTGGATTTGTTTCCTTTCTTCATATGAATCAAAGTACGAATAATAATTTCGACCAATGTTTCCATCGTACTCTAAATACCTTTGTTTTTTGTATTCTTCAAATTCCGAACCATAATCAGAAAATTTATTTTCAACTATTCTCCTTTCTTCAATTGCATCCAAGCGCGCATGGTGGGAATCTTCCTTTTTGTAGTATCTAAAAGGATCATCCAAAGAAGCATATCCGCCAGGTTTATATTCTGGATATTTCGGACCATAATTCAGGATAAGATTCCAATGATCCAAAAGTTCATTAATTTCTTTAATTTTTGGTCTCTTATTTATGTCAGCATCCATGCATCTTTTGGCAAGTTCAACGTAACATTCTGGTGTCCCTTCAGCAAACTGAGGACGTAATCCATCAAGGATAATTTTTATGGCCAAATCTTTATCATGTGGAATATTACAATATGGTGGGTTTCCTGTTGAAAATTCGGACATCATTACTCCAAGACTATATATATCAGATGCCGTCGTGTATGGCATTATTCCTGATAAAACTTCAGGCGCTATGTAAGGAAAAACCCCTACAACGTCACCATCTTCTGTTTTCAAGGATATATCGATAGATCTAGATAATCCAAAATCTGCTACGCGTGTGTAATTGCTGCATAAAATGTTACCACTGTGAAAGTCACAGTGCACAAAACCTTTTTGATGCAATTTACGTAAGCAACTGGTAATATCGACGAGTATTACAAATTTATCAGCCCATTTAAGGGTTTTAAAATTTTTATAAAGATAGTCTTTTAAACATCCTTCACTTGTGTACTGCATTACAATTATATATTCTCTTGTTATAGGATTCTGCGAAATTCCATGTAATCCAATAATATAATCATTTCCACCAGAATAGCATAAGTGTTGTATTCTCAACTATTAAATAATAAATTTTAATTTAATTAATATAGGCCATTCCTATTTTATAGAAATAGAATTATTTATTTACCTCATTTATCATATTACTAATCGCATCTTCAGGTATATGCATTTGCTTTAATGCTACCTTACTCCCTTTCCAAATCGCACAATATACTGTCGCAAAGCCACCTTTTCCTATTTCTTTTATTTCGCTAAAACTTTTATATGGAATCCATTTAAGATTGCTTTCTTTAATAAAATTATCAACATCCTCATTTTCACAATAAACAATAAATTCTATTAGTTCTTTAGGGTCACATTTCCCATTATTTTTTCCAAATTTTAAACTATTATCTTGAACACATTCAAGATTACTTTCTTTAGTAAAACTATTTATATCCTCATTTTCACAATAAACGGTATTTTCCATTAGTTCTCTAGGGTCACATTTCTCATTATTTTTTCCAAATTTTAAACTATTTGACAGTGTTGTCAAATTTTGCTTCCACTGGGATTTTAGAGTCTTCCAATGAAACTTTCTATTAGAAAAAGTTCCAGTAGTACTATTAAATTTGGCTTGCTGTGATTTCCAGTGGCCTTCCGGTAGCATTTCAGTAACAACATTGCTGTTGAATGTGTGAGTGTAATATTCTGAAAGATTGGGAAGTTTTCTGCTAACGTAAATAGCTCCGGAATGGTATTGGTTTAATGGTTTGGTGTTTATCTGGTTATCATCAAATTCTTTAATAACAGTACCCTCATTAATCCAAATTTTTAATTTTTCGGATATTTCTTCTAAGCTGGGTCGTTTTGAAGGTTCAGCACTTAAGCATTGGTTAACAAGTTCCACGTACATTCCCGGTATTTCTTGTGGAACTTCAGGTCGTTTACCATTACAAATTTCCGAAATAAGCACAAGATCATGTTTTCTATCTGCAAACGCGGGTCGTCCCGATACTATTTCTGACATTATGATACCAAAACTATAAATATCTGATTCTTTTGTGTACGAACCATTCAGGAAAACTTCAGGTGCAACATATGGAATTATTCCATACATTTTTGATGATGTGCTTGTTTTGTTGAAATCAATAGAAAATCCTACATCTAAAGCTGTATAGACAAACTCATCTTTTATTTCAGGAAAAATGTTGCCAGGATGCAAATCACGATGTACAAATCCCGCATTATGAATAGTTTCGAGTCCATAGTTAATACCGCCTAAAAGAATCAAGATCTCTTTCCAGGTTAGCTTTGTTTTGTGTTGTAAACTTTTTAGGTCACCGTTTTCATAATATTTCATTACTATTATGTAATCACCAGTCTCAGGATGCTGAGAAATGCCGTAAATTTCTGCTATAACAATATCCTTGTAAGTGTGAATTATTTGGAGCTATGTAAATTATGAAAATATTCATATAATTAGATTTAGACATTACAACATAAAATATAATTGTGAATTTAATTTTGCATACTTCTTTCGCAAGCTCTTTACTATTATTTCGCGAATTAAGTAATTTTTTTAAAACAATTTTCTTATTTGGATTCCTAATAGTTGACTTAAGACTATTACTAGTGATATTTCGTGGTCCTTCCAACCAAATAGCAGATTCGATAGTCGAGAAGCCACCTTTATCAAGAAATTGGATATCCATAAATTGTGTGTACGGAATCCATTCCCATACATTGTAATAATGTTTTGGATTAACTTGAGTTGTTCTTAAAAGCTTGTCAATAAATTCATTTCCACTGGTCCATTTATTGAATTTATTTATATATTCAAGACCTTCACAATATTGACACCAAAATAACCCGGTTCTTGTTTTACCGCAAACTGGACAGATTCCATAATCAAGCTTTTTGCATTTATCACACCAAGTAACATAGAGTGGTTCACTACAACTGCTACAACTTCCATACATCTTTCGATTCATCATGCGCGGTAATTCTCTGCTGATTAATTCTTTAAGATCGCTCGTCATTGTGATAATTGAGTATTCTAACAATTAAACGTTGAAAATTATAAAGTAAAAAGTCACTATTGAAGAATACATATCTTAAGGCGACTTTATACGAGCATCACCTAATGTATACAAAACTATTCACCATCAATATTTCAGTTGTGCTACAAACATGAAGTTTGTGTGTATGATAATTCTAATTATTATTAGTTCTTCGGTGCATCTTTTCCGAATTCGTGCAACGTAAGTCGACGTTTTTACTAACTATTTTAAACGAAAAAGTCTGTAAAAGGAAAAAAGATTTCACATTAGCATGACAGAAATTCGATTTATGCATAAGTGTTACACAAAAATTTATATATGTCTTACATATGAAACATAGATACGTCATATGTAAACATATTAAAAACTTATTGGTTCGTTGTATAACTTTGCCAAATTATTCTTTAGATAAAATTCAACGAGCTTGCAAAAAACAATCTCTGTAATCCGAGTTTTGCGCAACTTTTACTAGACATAGGTTTTCATTAATATACATTTAGAAAAATTAACATAAATACAAAATTAAGGAGTTAAACTTCGAAGCAACTTGGAGCTGCTTCAAAAATTTTGCATTTTGAACGTTTATTAGTTTACTCTTACTAATTTATATTTTTTACCAAAAATTAATTTGGTTAATTTCTTCTTCTAATCTAGACGAAACATCCAGAACCTCTTCTATTTCTTCCGGATTTTCTTCCTCATTTTCCTCCTCAGCTTCATTATCTTCAAAATCCTCTGGGGTAAGTATATCTGCACCTTTTTTGATCCGGTTTAAAAAAGAATTAACATTTTCAAAAATTCCTCTCTTGTAATATTCTTCACAATAAACACACTTCTTATTCTTTCTACTATAACACTCAAAATGATACCCATGGCCACAAATTAATCTCATTCCATCATCTTTACCCAATGGGGACTTACAATAATCGCATGAATAAGGTTTTGGCGGGTATGACGTACTATAAGCTGCTGGTAGATGACGTAAATCTACTTTTTCATTCAAAGTAGCAAGATAGTAAAATTCAGGGTTTCGCTTTTTTTTTTTTTATCTTTTTTATCTTCAGGCATTGGTTTACTTTTTCCACAATTATGAAATAAATTCTGGAAATGGTGCAATAAAAAAAGACTAGTTTTCTGATCCAAAAATTCGAGCTTTGATTTGTTGTATGGATATTGCCGTGCTTTATGGTAGTTATTTTTGAATGCCAGGTCATGATTCACTTAATAAAAATAAAAAAAAAAAAACAAAAAAATAAAAAAAAAAAATATATTAAATAAAATGAAATTAAAAATAAGAAATAAAATATGAACTCACTGATAACATAAGCATGTTTTATTATATTATCAGTTGTTGCATTTTGAGAGGTATTGGCTCTAATGCAGCTATGAGTATTTTTAACGTAATATTCGTTAAAGCTTGGTAAATGCAATCGAATTATATCAAAAAAAGGATGGTTTGTGTCCTTCAAATAAAACAAATCTGACAAAAAAGCAAGAGGTGCTTTAATGTAGTTTTTTCTTTGCCAACGTAGAGCAAATGTCCAAATCCTAAAAACTACCTCAACATATTCGTAGAATAAACTTGACTGAAACAAATTTGCATAAACATCGAGCATAGTGGGAACCAAGTTATTTAGTAAATCTATTGTAGTTCGAAACTCAATATCTTTACAAGTTTGACTAAATTTTCCTAGAATTTTGTCACGAATTTTAATCCAACCATTTTGAGCAAGTTCTAGAATAAGATTTATTCTCCAAGGGCGGGCTTTTTTGCTAATTTTTTGCGCGCACCAAATACAAAGTGAAATAGTTTCTCAAAAAAAGAATGATGCACAAGTAAAACTTGTTCCCTGCTATTCAGAGACAAGTAAAAAGGACCTAGCATAGGCAAAAATGGCATAATTTCTTGTGGTGGTGACTTTTGATATAAAATTTTCCTAATGAATAATTGGCCAGACCAATCTGCAACAATTGGCGCGACATACCCATCTAAATAATGTGTTTTATTGTTGATAGCTAAGATAAGTTTTAGAGCACTCAAATAATCTTGAACTGAATGTAAGTGTTGTTCTTTAAACCCAACTAACTGAAGTCCTTCCATAGACCGCTCATCTCTTCGTTCTACCAGATTATCATTATAATTATGTACTATTAATACTTCGATTTAGTCAAATTCATTTACTAAATGCTTTTGTGAAATCCAAAGTAACTTTCATTCTAAATATAAGATATCAAATATTTTATTATAACAATTAATAAGGTACCAGCAGATTCTCAGCACTTCAATGTTTTCTGGATTATAGATGGATGTGCCATTATTTATAAGTAAAACAGATCATGAAGCTAAAACAGGTTTTGCTACGAATGTAGCAAAATGTTTTGCATCAGATGTTGTAACTGTATCAGGTTTCCGGTGTTACTATTGGATCGAGAGAGTGTCAGTAAGTAGGTGCCAATATTAGTTCAGTGATAGTCAACGAAGGGTAATAAGGTAGAGATAACAATAGGAGATTAGTTATTATTATAATAATTATAAGATAGGGTAAATAGATACGTGGGGTCATTAAACTGTCTTAATCATAGGGATATCAGGATGTATGTACATGTATAATACTAAAGGAGTAATATAATAAAGTTATATTTAGTAAGTACGATAATTTAATTGATTAAACCAGAATTAATAATGATGCAGGTTATTTCTAAGTAATTTTAATAATGGTGTCAAGCACGGAGCATATGTAAATAACAATAAAATAAGAATTTCAATAAAGCTGTGAAGGTAAATTCACGATAAATGATCAAAGATAATGCTGTGAAGATGTATTCACGATAAGGTAATCAGGGGTACAAGGGTGAGAATTCGATGATTTTTAATTATACCAAGTCAAGTATATAAGAGATCGAAGTCTGAGAAAAACT